GAGTTCTCGAGTAGGCTTGGTTTTGGTTGGATGTCGGCGGGTCTTTTGAAGAATGCCGCCGCCATGAACTGGCGAACAGAGTTCAGGCCGAGCTAAAATAGGTTTTCTATCTTCAAACCGACTAATATTTCGAGCTTTTGCACAATACGATGCGATAAGAATGGAATTCGTATAATTCACTAGAAGCAGTTTTCAGGAAGCACTGAAACATCATCAGACGTACGCTGACGAAATAAGCATAAAATTTTACCCAAAAGTACGTTTTAAAATAACACTTTTTTAACCCTCCCCCCCCAAATCAAAGATACTGAGAAAAAAAAAGGGAGGTAATTTTTTACCATGATGAAACATTCGACAAACTAACAAGTACAAATATTTAGTTCACAATAAGCTATCACAGTTACTCAGGTAGGAAACAGGTACGAAAGGAGTCTTCATATTTTTGGAAAGACAATAAATGCAAAGCAAAATAACGAATTCATAGCTGCTTATCTTGAAATATAAAAAATTAGGACGTCCTAGTCCAGCACGGCAGGTATGCAAATTAACAAATTTGATTAGAATTATCTTACAGTGCATAAATCGGAACAATAAACTAGTTGAAACGTGCTCTTGATTTAAAATAGTGTTTTAAATTTTTACTTTTAAGTTATGTTTCTTATACAGTTTCCGGCGATTCAGTACTTTTCTGAAAATTTTAACACTGATGAGAACCAAAGTAGAGAAGAAAAGCTTAGCTTTCACACACATTGAAAATAAAATTAATATGCATATAATCGAAAAGCAAATGCGACAGAAAAAAAATCAGGTGTCCTCCGGTTTTAATGGAACGACTAGGAGCACTGCGCGTTTGAAATAAAATACTTTTTGACATTAAAAATGTTCTTTAAACATAACACCAAATTTATACATTATCGTTTGAATTTGATGTTCGATTATCAGCGATTTAAAAGCAATAAACGTATTCTCTTAGAATTACATTTTTTAACGATACGCCTAATTTATGCAATTTCAAATGGTAATTATAAACATTTGCAGCACTATTATAACGTATAAAAGATGCCTCAGCGACATTTTATAAGAGAAATTCTCAATTACACATGAGCCTCAATAAAAGTATTAATTCTAAAACACCGACTTCATGATGCTGCTAAGATCAAACTTAGTACTAAAGTAGCTAAGCCTCGATCATGAGAACCTTAAACGCAAGTACCATTTTACTTGCTTTTATGGTTTGACGACAACTTCAGACGCTTAAAATCCGGTGCTCTTTGCTTAGAGTCTTTTAGGGGCAGCAATGGAGAAAGGGGACAATCTAAAGAACGAACATACAAACAAAATACGATGCCCAAAAAGAAAACAAAGTTAGATATAAACGGACAAGCCGCGCACTCTTATTAATATTGCCACCTCAAAAGTTTCTGAAATTGCAATAAAAAACGTGCATAAAAACTTCTCTATGGGAATGATTTTACACACGGTTTTCTGTAAACAAGAACTTAAAATTTCTATGAAAAATCATATGACATAATTACAAAATTAAGTTTTAAATGTTGAATACATATTTTTCAAGCTTGAATTGAAAAATTAATTAAAAAAATCAATTTCCAAACACAAGTGAGTAATTTCAAACTTTTAGTACATATTTCAAATGATACAGAATTTAACCTTTGCCACTTAACACAGAATGATTTCAATCAATTCGCGAACAAAAGACCTAACTAAACTTACCTTTAGCTTACAATGAAATTTTTCCCTCAATATAACTAATTTCGTATCAACCAAAATTGCAACGCAGTGTTCTTTTACAGCTCACAACAGAGAAAACTTTAAACTCTTTCTGAAAAACATACAGGCGCAGGAGACTTGGTAAGCAAATTTAAGATTAATTTATGCCCATCCACTGTGTAACACATGTACTTTGGTTCCTTATCTCTGTCTTAAACAAGAATATTGTTTTCGGGTGTAATCTGTTATTTTGATACTGCACTCAAAAAAAGCTCGATTTACCGTGAGGCATTAAATTCTTTGTATAAACTACACAGAAGCCCGGTTTTGGAAATCAAATAACCATAAGATTCGTCCTCTTCACACCTCTTAGGCTGAATATTGTACTGCTTTTCTTCTGATAACTGCTCTTTAATATGACCGTAGCAAATTCCTTTAAACTGAATGAGTTTTATTATTTTAATTCATCATTTCCTGAAGCTACTAATTCCGGGTCCAACATAAAATCAAATAAATATATTCTAGTTGCTTTGAGTACAACGATGCCTCCGTTATGAAGGGGTCAACACACTCTATACTACACTCAGCAATTATCTGGTTATCAGTTAAGATCCCATACGATCTTTGAACTGATTCTGAAACAAAAATACTTTTCACATTTTATTGATACTATTAACAAACACTATGCTCTGCAAATCAGAATGAAGCACGGCCTAGCAAAATAAGTAATCAGAAATTCAAATTGCCTTTGTTTCAGAAGACACGTGGGAACAGCAACATTCAGGCTATTATAAAAATGGCATCTAGGGCATGAATGAGTTTATGAACATTGATTTACGGTTACAAAAAAAGTTTTATTTACTTATATTTTAACCATATAATTAAAAAAACACTAAAATATAATTTTTATGTTATACAAAATGTTTGTTAACTGATGCTCCATTTTTTTTAAACTACATATACATGTTTGCAAACTACACTGTATATAAATAACTCGATCATCAAAGATAATTTAAATCCACGGGTTATTTCCAGTCTCGGACATCGTATATCATTTTCTTCCCAACATAGGGAAAATAGGCGCACCAGCAGTCGAGCGAAAAGCCGCTGAATACTGGTAGTTTTGGTCTGGAATTCGAATCCCGGCAAACGGGCTGACTACATTGGTGTTCTCATGGTTTTCCCCTACTGTAACATAGACAAGGGGCAGTTTTCCCTTAAGAATCCCTTCACGGGGAGCCCTCATTTCCGTGTAGTTCTTAATGGGGGGTGTAAGTAATTAATGGGGAAATATTTCACCCAATAACCTTTCACCTCAGCGTCCCTTTTTAGCCATTTCTTGTTCTCATTACAAATTACTCATTATTAATATTAGTCAGTTAATGCCACTCAACCCAGACTTAACAATATAGCAGTACAGTAAAACAATAATTCTAAGTGTCTAATGATTTTAAAGAAACATGTGCGCCTGGCATGGAGTTGCTTACTTCATTGTTCTCTATTCGGATACTCACCGGTATTTTTTTATTTACAATTAACGGCAGCAAATAATTTAAAGTTTAGAACTTCAGCAAAGAGCTAAATAATTATAATTAAGGTGTATATTTTATTCTCGCAACCTTTACGTATTTAACTACTCCGCAATAATCACAGGTCTGAATTTTGATCAAACCAACTACATTACAAAAATTCTTTGATGGATAAGCTTGGAACGCACGGTTGAAATGTTATTCGGGGTTTTTTTTTTTTTTTTTTTTTACATAAAATCTAGTGTATCTCAGACCTTAGCATTTGTTTCATTATAGCAAAATATTTCTTCAGGTTTTCAACCGAATATGAAGTGGCATTAATATAAACTATGCACATTAGAGAAAGAATAGATTTAGATATATAACTTAAACGATCTAGAATAAAATAAACTTATTACGGTAAATTAACGGATATTAAACATTTGGGAATGAAAAGGGGCAGAGAAAGCCAATGAAAACATGCCGGTGACAATATCTTTTATTTACTTTTAATCAGTCAGCGAATTTTCATCAAATTACGTTTTCGATAAATGTATTTTCACAAAGCGTGAAAATATACAAGTTTCATAAAATGCAAGAATATATGCAATGCAAGAATTTGAAATTGGTTACATGTAACTTTAAAAGAAATTTCACCATTGATAGAAAATAAGTCATTCGTGACTCAACAATTAATTGAGGTTTGTTCATGCTCGGGTTCACTTCGCTAATACTAAATTTACCGAAATGATTTTTCAACTCCTCATTACAGTTCCACTGATGATCCGAAAGAATTATTATCACTTTCGACCGTTTTATATCTCATTCAAGGCATATGACGATTTAAATAAGAAGTTCATTTCCTCGTAATAAAAGACCGGAAATGTCCCATCTAAGAGGCGTTTCCTGTTGTAAAACCAAACGACATTTTTACAATAAAGGAAAGTATGATGTTACAGTTACACAGAACACTTTCGGTTTGTGTCCACACATACATAAAGAAGCAGATAACTCGATTCTACAAAATTTTTGACTAAAAAAGTTCCATAGGTTCTTTTAACGCATAGTTGGGCATTCAGTTATTACACTTAAAATCTATCTACTTCCCTTAATAATACATAACATTCAATTTACAAGCTGTAAAATTAAGTACTCTATTAACAAACAGCAGAATATTTAGTTACTAACAATATATAAGTTATATTATTTAAAAATTGGCATTTTAGGCATAATTAAACATTAAAATGGGAAAAAATTTATCGAACTTTAAAATGAGTTTTAAATCACACAATTTATAATAATAGTAATGTTTTGCAAGAATTGGAGAAAATTCATTTCATCCATTAATTTCGTACACTACGTATTTAGTGTAATGCCTTAATTTCAGGCTCCAATGCCACAATTCATTTTTGGTCCAGTGTCATGCTACACGGACTAAAAATACTGAATTGCAAGGTGCAAGTTTGGAAAAATCTTTAAGCAGTTATGATAAAATGCTAATGCAAAATACAATTAATATTCAGAACTCAAAATTTAAGAAATATTTAGGCTGCTTGAGAAATTTTTAAAAAATGAATTAAAATGTTTTATATCTTACTGGCAAACTGAAATTCAAATTTCAAAATGGAGAAGGAAAAAAAAGGAACCTGAGAAGAAATTTACTAGAAATCGTTATGTAGTTTATTTTATGTATCTATACCTAAGTCTAGTTGCAATAACTGCAGATGGCTGAATATTAAGAATAAGAGGCAATATTTTACTTACCAGTACGTATCGACGTAGCCATTCCAGGAATCTGGAGATTCCTTAAGGGGGGCTTCATTAGGTTCTCAGGGTGTCCTTGGGTATCCAAAATTTCAGTTCTTCCAACCATGGGTTAAAGCTGCTACCCTCCTCCCTCTCATCTTACCCTGAGCCCGCCCGATATCTTTGGCACCATGCCAAGAGAAAGGAATGGGAGGACACAACGATGCTGGCGCCTCCTGTTGAGAGAGGAAAGGAACAAGCTCACAGGCTCGTACTACTTCGCCTCTCTTCCCGCGGTAGGAAAGTGGGAGGTTTTCAATGCATTATGAATGGGAGACAGATGTTTGCGGAGGCAGTTGTGACTCATCCGGAGCAGTACACAAGCCAGTATTCGTCGTCCGCCACGATCCCAGCAAAAGTAAACGACCACTTCCTGTATGGCTCCTTGGAGGCTCCGGTGTCGAACAGCTCGTCACATCAGAGGAAATCGCAATTAAGCTTTTCCTAAACGACAATATCCGGCGTCGATGCACACGCGCGCTGAGGGAAACCCAAATCTTAATCATAGAAGCAATCTCATGGGATGTCGTAGAAATAATCCAAAAAAGTAAGATATCCACTTTCCAAAACATCTTTCCAAATGACCTTTTTATATCATACAACACAAATAATTCCATTAAAATCTGTTACACGACTTCTTGTAAAAATCAACTTCAGCTTTCTGTCAATTAATTTTACGTCTCATCCACATAAGTCGATGGCAGTACAGGCATAGTCATTGAATAGCGAATACCCACGTGACTAAACGACAGAGTACTATGAAATTACTCCTGTTACGTTTTTACACTAGAGGCACCTGGTAGTTTACTATATATGTCCTACAGTATCAAAACTTCAGTACATCAAATCATTCAGCTTTGCAACACATGAATAAACATTTCGAGCATCTGATCTTAAGCGTGATAACGGAGCATGAAACTCGCCGGGTATAGCATGGAGACCACGGAAGGAGAAGACTGCCGCGGAGATCGGGAGGCAAAGCCCGCCAAAGAAGTAAGACAGAATCGTCCAACCACAGTGTTCCCGCCAATTCTAGCCGTCCATTCAGAAACCTTCGTGAGCGATAGGAAAAGGGAAAGAATGGGAGGGGGAGCACAGGGAGGGAATAAGGTTTGAAATCATGAGTCGGGATGGAACGGGCGGAGGAGGAAGGGGAAAGAACCTCGGTCGCGGTTCATTCACAAGCGCCCAGTCCATTAGAGATGGGCCGGTACTGAAGCTATGGCAAAGAGGGGGATAGAGAGTTTCTGAGGATGGCAGAGAGGAAAGGGGGGAGCAGGAAGTTGGCGCAGAGATGAGGGGAGGAATCTTTGGCGTCGTCCATTCCTAGAGTGCATGAGATGAGTGAAGTCGAACTCTCATCATAATTCTCGGGCGAAGGGTAGTATCATTAACATACTTGGGCTTCATTACACTGAAACATACGCGGCCGTTGACCCACATTGGGAAAACTTTCTTCGCCGTTGAGTTTAATCTTAACCTCCGGACTTCTCGCGAGCGCTGTTCACACACAGATCTAAGAAACCGGATAAGGAGAGTCACTGATATAAAAAGATAACAGCATACGCATCTACAGTAAGAAGTCACTGAGAATTAATTACGTAAGGGGCTGATGTGTATACTGTAAAGCCCCTGTATTGCTTTCAATAATTAGATTTAACAAAATGTGACAACACGTACTGTTTATATATCAAGAAACATACTTTTGATACAGCTATATGTCCATATCAAGCAAATTTCAGTTCCTTATCCGAGGTTACAAATCAATTCAGTGGCTATAAAATTACGCACGCATTTGTATATATTAGAAGTTAATTACTGTTACTATTATTTATGCTACTCTTGAACTATTTATCGACAAACTCGTAATATCCGCATCTTGCACCAGAATTTATAGATATGTTAAATGTAAGTGGACAAAATTTTTTATTTTTAAATAATATATTTTGGGTAACACCTTGATTTACAATAATAATGGGCTATTCATTTACAGAATGATGAAAATAAAAATGAGTTATGAATCAAAGTGATAAAGCACCCACATAGTTAGGACTATAAACATAACTATTTCAGAAATTATTTTGAGTTATTTGTAAGGTGAATACACGAAATTTGCAAGACTGGTATTTTCCAGTCTTGCAGATTTCTTTGCTCCTGATGAAGACTGACCTATATCTGTTTGCCCTCGAAATCGACTGAGTTAGTGACTAAATTTAAGCCAAACACAAGGTAGTTGCTTTGCTAATTTTATGTTTCTCTTCTGTTTTCATCCTGAATTAGATAACAAGGAAGAGAGAGCCTCACTCTTCTTTTATACAGGAGAAAAAAAAAAAGAAAGTTAATTAATTAAGATTCACTCACCATAATAATCTATTCTTTACAGGATTATAAAATAAACCAACAGACATTCTGGGATCGCCTATCTTAAGCAGAAATAGCACTTTGATTTTTAGAACATGAATTCTCAAATTAGTGGTTGTTTAAAAAAAAGAGAGAAAGGACGACAGCAACGTTAATTATTTTTGTGAGAATTACGTAAAAACTATAACTGATCAATTACTATATTGACTATAGTACTTTGAAAAAAAAAAAGGGGGGAGGGACTACCTAGAAACCTTTACATTGTTTTTTATTCCTTTTTTCTTTACATAAATAATTCACTTTTAGAAAGAATTCCATCCGTTTTGAAATGCTTATAAATCTTATTAATAGGTTACAAATTTTATTAAACATTGTTTTACCTTAGGTCACGAAAAACTTTGAGTAAAAGAAAGGTTGCGAATAAGCCGCCCAACCGGTATAGTGGTTAGCGTCGCTGACTGCCGTGCCGAAAGGCGCAGGCTCGAATCCCGGAGAAGGCATGGATGTTTGTAAATGTATAGTGTCGGTCCGGCATGGCGCCACTCTAAATATGCGGCGAGCCGAAAGTTCTCTTGTGTGATTTGGTGGAAGGGTAGAGGTGGTGGTAATTTCGTGGGCTTGACTGACTACGTCAAACAAGCGAGCATAAGCAACAACAGATATAAAAATTACAAGCAAAATTATGTATCTATCTTGCCACGCATCGTCTACTATTAACGAGACTTTTGAACATAATATAAGACGCATACCTTTTTAAATACTAACAAAACATGTTTACATAGTTGTATGAAAAAAATCTGTAGGGAGGGAAAACGCGATAATTATAAAGCAAAGATCTCTGCTGAACCACATCGTCGTTTCCGCACACGTTTTATGGAAATTGAATATCTTCATACACTGAAAATATATCATTCATTATATAAGGAGAACATACTAATTAATGAACTATGCAAAGGTTAAAGAATTTCCCGAAGTATCTAAACTTTTATAATAAAAAAAATTTTTAGCCATCACAGTTTCGAAAAAAGAAATTGAATGCAGTTAAAAGTCATCAACTACATACAGTTTTTGTTGCCTGCAACGGATGTTATTAATAGGAGAGCTAGTCTTCTTTTCTTGTTGTTATGGTTATTATCCTTCGGGGTAGACTCACCACTATGTTCTAGTAAGCTGTTACGGAACTTCTTTTTATCTTCAAGGCCAAATTGCTATTCTTGGTTAGCAGCCCACACTATTTCATACCAAAGATTCACCTGCTAATCATCACTGAAAAATGTTTAATCTTCTACAGCATAACATTTTAAACATCCATTCATACGGCATTTTCAATTAAGAATACGCAGCGGAACATCTTTGAAGCGAGATGGTGGTGCATGGGTCGCTAACGAGACGCATTACCTGCAGAAAAGGCTTTTTTTGGATACCAGTTATTTCTCCTTAATGACAACCACAAAGCTAGAAAACTTGCTTTGTGAAGAATGCCGTCATGGCACTGAAACAAGACACGACCTTCTTCAAACTTTGTCTCAAATATCTTCTTCGTAAACATGACTTCAAAGATACAAAAACTAAAATTACGGCAACACTTGAAAACTAGGGGAAAAAACACTCATCGCTACCGCCTAAAAATTAAACTGACGGGCAGAATAATTTATGGCATATTAAAATAGCTCTTTTAGTTTTCAATAGACATTTCCTTCGCAAACCAAGAGTTAACCCTGAATTCATGTTTCCACAAATTCAACCATTAACATTAAAACTTGTCTTTCAAATGCCTCGACTGTTAAAACGGGCTTACATCGTCCACTCACTGTCACATCTTCCGTTTCACGATGTTGGCAATGTCATTTTTTTCCCCCTAATATGCAAAAGAGTGAATTTCAAGTCTCATAGGTGCCCGCTGATATTTAAGTGCATAGTGAATGTACTTTACTCACTGACATTCCATTACTAATTGTCTGAATGTGGAAAATAAAATTGATGAAATGAACGTCTCACTAAAAGAAACGCAAGACGATAGAATGAGAGAGATGATGAACTATACAGTCAAGCCCTACTTACGTTGAATTAAAAACATCATATAGATTTAAAAACCGGAGAAGGAAATACAGGATTTTGGCTTGATTCAAATTATTGTTGTACAGGGCATAAAATTTACAAAAGCTAAAAGAGACCTTAAAAGAAATTCTCAGCTTTTAAAAATACCCATGTCTTCATCATGATTTTAAACTCGAAAAAGAAACTGCACAAAAATATTTGTAGCGTCATTAGAATTCTTGAAGCAAGAAACATGAAAATGAGCCCAATAACCAAACCCTGGAGGTGAATTATTATCATCCACCACCTTTTTAGTTCAGGCGTCACTGTAAAGACATTAGGTTATTTTGATGCTGGAGATGTGAAAAATGAGCAATGCCCTCGCCAGCACTCGAACCCGGACCTCTCGAATACGCGCCGAGTACGCTACAGTTACACCACGAAGGCATGCTAAAAGGAGGGAGAAAATATACATTCTTCGAAATTAACCGTTTGGTTTGGCAAGTTCATTCGGTAACTAGATCAAATAGACCCTACATTATATGAAAAACTGAAGAAAAACAAATAACAACTCTACACATATACTACTTTTTAGAATATCTGTTTCAATAAATATTTTGAATTTTAAATTTTATCAGTTTCGTCCCTTCTTCTGTTGAGAAGAGTCGGGAATTGCCTTAGTTTTAAAAGTTAAATTTATTCAGATGAGCTATGGTGGATTCTGGATTTCTTAAAGTACTCTAAATTTTCCGAAACGAGCACAGTTGCTCATTAATTGGAAATTTGTAAAAAGCTAGCTCATCACAATCACCTTATGAACAGCTGGAGTTTATTTTAATTCCTTATAGTATTACACAATTCATAAATATACCGACGAAGAATAGAAGAAAGATTTCTCTCTCCCGGAGACACTGCTTAGTCTTCCTAAATCGACATGTGAATAAATTACCAGTACTTTAAAATATCACCTAACCATAGCTCACTAAATATCGATTCAAGAAAAATAAAATCATTAAAATTAATCTTTAATTCAACTGCTGAACAAAAATTCTGCTCCAGCAGTCTCCAGCTCATCTTCCCGTACGACCATACCCATTCTAGACTGCTTGAGAGCAACTCAAGCAGTCTAGAATGGTTGCTAAATTAATCAAGGCTTAGTTTATCTCTAAAATCACCCTTTACTTCAGAATATCTATGCTTCAATGATGTATTTCATACATAACGAATATCGTGATTTGCAAGTATCTACGTCACCTCGCCAACTACATAACGAGATAGAAAGTTCGAAATAATTTTAACGTGTAACAGTTCCAAAGAAAACATTCTAAAATTATTTAAATGATTAAATACAAAATCATTTCGAGTTTAAATTTTAGATACCACACGGCTTGAACTAGGCCGCCTCACATAAAAACGTCCTTGGTTCTTGAGGGCATTTAAAGTGGGGGAAGAAAAAAAAACAGCTTCACATACCCATTTTCCAATATAATTAAGCAAATAAAACAATTTCAGAGAAAAAGTTGTATAATTCCATCTTGAATAGTTTTTTTTCCCCGGGGGTGTCCTGTACTGTATTATTGCAACAAAAAATAGTGATGCGTAACTACACTGAGC